ATAAAATTTTCACTCGTTATCTCAAAAACATGGGTTATTGAAAATATCGATCCTGTAGTCATTCAATACATCTGCAAATGGCTTGAGATTCCATCTCGGGAACACTTAGTACTGTTTTTGTAACTTCTAATAAATTCTGTCAAGGCATCTATCCTCTATCACTAAAGTTCATTCAATGCCTAACTATTATTCGAAAAGCTTTAAAACTTTCTGATAATGAAGAAATCATTGCGCTATGGAAACGTATTAAAACTCACGCCAATATTCAATACGACGCCTTATAATAATAGTATCAAAGAAGTGACTAAAGATTTCCGCTTAAAAACTCCAAGCCCAGCGAAATTTTCAAGGATGTTATTTCTCTTGTGTATGAAATTTAACATTATTACGCTGAGCGTGTGGTGCACTGCTCAATCCAAACTTTGAAAATATATTTTTACAACTTTTACCATGCACTATAGCTTAATAGCTATTCTCTTCCGCAAAAGTGAACGGATGTGGAATATCTTCCAGTCCAGAGTACACGTTTTGTCTTTGTCACCCTCAGTCATTATTAGTTACATGTGGTGGCTGTATGTCAGTTTTTTTCTGGAGCATGCAGTTTACATGCACGAAGGCGTGATTCGATCCTAAATTTTCTTGCGCTTTTGGTAAAATCGGCTCAATCAAGCTAATGACAACAAGCTGATACGTATAAACAAACAAAACTGTAAATTATTGTATCCTTTATGCTGATACACCGAAATTTGAAATTCCTACTATTATTACTGGTGAAACATATCCTCCAGATTGGTTATTATCTTGTTCAAATGGATTCCTATTTTGCGCTTGAGCTCACGGTCGGGTACGAATCCAAGCTAAAGGGTAGTTTACAATTTTTTCTGCGATTTTAATTATGTGCGATTTTCTTCTTTTGATAGATGTGAACGAGTAAATTAGTTTGAAATAGGACCTCGTGCACATCAGTGCATTCGTAATTTATCATAATAAATCATTCGTAATAAAATCGCAGCAAAAATCGCGGAACAATGCTAAGATGAAGAAATCTAACTTGAAGAAACTGCCCTGAGCCAGTTGTATACAAATGTTCCTCGAGAAGGATGTTTCAATGTTACGAGTCAAATGATTGTTTCATATTATTTTTATACACTTACATATTCGCCAATTTTAGCTATTATTGGGCACTTTTGCAGAAATCGAAATCTTGCGCGAGAGTTATATATATATTTCTTCCGAATATCGAGCTTATTTCGCTTGTGCCTCTTTGCGCAGCATTGTGAGAGCTTCCTCGGAAACCACGGACTGTAACGCTTCCTGATAAACCCAACTCCATGCAATTTGGTGAATTTCTGCAAATTGAATAATCTGAGTACACTGTAAACCTTCTGCTCAAATTCCAGATACATTCGGTGTGCTCTTGAAGTGCGATCCTTTGTAAACACTCCAGGGACTTCACAGTTCAGTTGCTTGCACCGAGACATCGGGCCAGAAGGCGTCCCGAACGACGTACACATGAAAGGCAGCACTTCTCTCCGCACGCACACAACTGACACTTGGGTTATGTCGCAGCTTTTGGAAGCTTTCGTCTAATTGGATAATGCTTTTCTATGCTTTCTAAAGAACGAAGCTATTCTATTGGTTGAAATAGAAATGTTTGTAAAGTTCAACCAATGAAAATCATTCTTGAGAGGAGCTGCGACACTAACCGGGAAAATCAACCAGGGTTTCCACAATGCGAGGCGATTTCCTTGCAATTGACAACTATGTGTTAATAGAATACTTTTTGCATTCTTTTCAAAAGTTATTTGTTTCTCTCTTTTGTCATTGCTATCCCCCTATCCCTGAAACCCTGAAATCAACATCGCAATCGGACGTTTAAAGCATGCTTCGGGGCAGGCGACTGAACCGTGAAGTCACTGGAGCGTTCACAAAGATTCCTACTTCAAGAACACAACTGAAACCTCGGAAGTATTTAGAATTTGCACAAAAGGTCAACAATGCACAAAAATGAAATAATCTCCATGCCCTCACCCCACTGAAGTTGCTATCATCAATTTCCTTGACCTGAAATGTGGCACATGCAATTTCTCAATGGAAACTATTTAACATTTGCGCGCAGTTAGGGATTGCCTCTAGTCACCTTTCTTAGTTCTTTACTTTCGAAGATAGCGAGAGATTCTTTCGAGAAAGTGGAAAAACTTAAGGTTTTTAAGGGGTCCTAATTTTGAGCGGGATCATACACAACTCTTTTGTATTTACAGAGCTTAGAATGCATTTTAACTCCCAAAGGGAACAAACTTTATGTTTTAGGTTAATTAATATGATATGCTACGTATACCTATGAAATATTTTAGGCAACTTCTGTCGCATTAAAGCCGCTATGCGGCTAATTTGAATTTCAAAGGTGTCAGTAAAGGACGAGAACTTTAGATGTTCGTTGACAATAAACCCAGTTACCCAAAATTCAACGAAGTGTTGATTTATCAATTTTTCTTTATGGAACCGAACAATAGTTAAACATACGCCATTGCCAAAAGACGTCTCACGCTTTGTCAGCTGCTTCGTGTTTTTTTTTGACCCAACTTTATTTAATTGCTACGAAAAAAGACCTCAACTTTTTTCGAACAAAAATAACGAAGTATGACATTAATGTTTACGTGCTCAGTATCAGTAAGATGTGTTTTGTATGATGATGCGTGTTCATCTATACGTGTTCTGTGATAGTTATACGTGTTTAAAGATATACGTGTTTAGTGATAACTACATGTTCAGAGATACGTGTTCAGTGATAGCTGAACGTGTTCAGAGATATACGTGTTTAGTGATAACTACGTCAGAGATACGTGTTCAAGGATACTGTTCGTTGCTTAGAGATAATGATATGGCAAAAAATACGCACGTACTGTCCCAAAATATGAAATTGACGTCCATAGCACTATAAATATGAAAAGATCTAACATTAAAAGGTGAGAAACAGAAACGTAAATCTCCGTAATTATTAGGTCGTGTAGTTTTTGTGACATTTCTTCATGTAATTTTCCAGATACAAATATATTTTAAAAGCTAGAATTGATTTATCAATGTAATTATAATAAAAGTTAACAATGCTACATTTTTAAATAAATTATGACCTCACTGCCCTCACGCGAAGTTGAAATTACATATTTACATTAAGCGCTCTTTTAACTGTTTCTGTGTGAACCTTTGTTAGTTCGTTTCCTAGTTCGTTCAGTCATCAATGCATGGTCTCTAAATGTTTATTGCTTGTAAAAGTCAGGATCGTCTTCTGCAGAAATAAAGCAAACGAAACGTTTTCTGATACCCTAGCAAACGCAAAATATAAATCAACGGATTCACAGCAAAATTTGTGTAAAATATCAAATGAAATGTCTTCAGAGCTGGAGATTGAGGGTGCAGACCGAAATAATTTGGTTTGGTAGCCTGATGCCATTGATAAAATACCACGGTTGGCACAATGGAACCTAAAGCAACGCAAGCTATAACCATAATTGTATTTAAAAATTGTTTTTCTCAACGCATTTTTTTTTCTTGTGCACGGCCGTCTGTTGAGTTTTGGAGAGCAATGTTCCTTGACTGTTTTTTTCAATTCGAGACCCGTAAAGACGTACATAACCGCAGAAAATATGATGGGAACAGTGAAAAATATGTACTGCATTTGGTAACGAGCAAAGATATTTTGTGGGTTTGACACAGCAATGATAGAACTGACTAGCCAAGTAATCGTCAGACATGAGAATATGACTTTTCCATTCATCAAAATGCGACGTTTCCACGGATAAGCCACCATTAAAAAGCGATCGACAGATATTGATGGTATCGAAAAAAGCGAGGCTATGGAGAATATTCCCAGTAAAAACCCAATGACCGAATTCCAGGAAGGTATTGATAAATATAATAATAATAATAATAATAATAAAAAATAGTATTTCTATAGCGCACAACCAAATTGTGTTCTGTTCTAGGCGCTTTACAGTAAAATCTAATATTAAAACTATTAAAATATCTAAATCATTAACAAACCTAATAATATAAATGTTAAGACCAACGTCATACATTATTCAAAAATAAGTTAAAAAGATATGTTTTAAGATTTTTTTTAAAAACAGTAATTGATTTGCACATCCGAAGATTAATGGGTAATTCGTTCCACAATCGTGGTCCCGCGACACAAAATGATCTATCCCCAAATGTCTTCAGTCTAGAACAGGGAATCTGGAGCAATTCACAGTTATTTGATCGAAGTGAACGCTGCAAAGTATGATAATGCAAGAGTTCCTTCAAATACGGTGGAGCAAGGTCGTTCATAGCCTTATACACATGAAGGATAATTTTGAATTGGACACGATATTGGACTGGTAGCCAATGCAATTCAATAAGTACTGGTGTAATATGTTCCGATTTCCTAGTACCAGTTAATAGACGTGCTGCAGTATTTTGGACTCTCTGTAGCCTCTGGAGTAAATATTTTGATACACCATATAGCAGTGAGTTACAGTAATCCAATCTTGAAGTTATAAAAGCATGAATGATTATTTCAAGACAGTCCCGAGACAAATACTTCTTTATTCTTGAAATGTTTCTGATATTGTAAAAAGATGACTTGCAGATACCATTAATATGTTCCTCCAATTTAAAGAACTCATCAAAAATAACCCCCAAATTTCTAGCTGAACCAGTTGGTACAATTCTGTCATCACCCACCATGATATAATTCAAGGGAGGCATAGGGCGATAGCGTGAATGGACTAATATAAGTTCTGTTTTTTCACTATTTAGTTTCAATTTATTCAGCATCAACCAGTTTCTAATTTCAAATATACATTTTTCCATACGAATCTTAGATGAAATCAATTCACCAGGATCATTTGTTTTGAATGCAATGTAAAGTTGTCCATCATCAGCAAAAAAGTGAAAACGGAGATCATGACGCCTAGCCACATCTGCAAGCGGGGCAGTGTACAATGAATATAACAGCGGACCTAATACCGATCCCTGCGGTACACCACATTCAAGATCACGCCATAGCGAATCTCGGTTCCCTCAACACGAACAAATTGTGTCCTAGATATAAGATATGAAGTAAACCAATCCAAAACACGACCCTTTATACCAAATCGCTTCCATAATCGTGTTAATAAGATCGAATGATCTACGGTGTCAAACGCTGCTGACAGATCCAGTAGAACGAGAATGACAGAGTTTCCATTGTCGAGGTCTTGGAGAATATCGCTTTGAACCCTTAATAATGCTGTTTCTGTACTATGACGAGGCTTATAGGCAGACTGGAACTTCTCATGTAGTTTATTCTCGTCAAGATAATTCATTAATTGTACAGCAACTGCTTTCTCAATAGATTTCGAAACAAATTTCAAATTAGATATTGGACGAAAGCTGCAGAATTCTTCATAGGAAAGACCACACTTTTTTAATAACGGTTTAAGAACAGCAATCTTTAGAGAGTCAGGCATTAAACCATTTTCCAAAGATAAATTAATTATTCTCGTTATAATGGGCACGATGTCTTTTAGGCAATGTTCCAGCATAACCGCTGGAATAGGATCTAGAACACATGATTTCATTGCAATCTGTTGAATTAAATCGAACATCTCATTGTTACCAACTTCCTTAAAAACACGAAGTTCATGGGGACATGAATCACCATCGGGAAATGGGTTTTCTATATCATTAATTAAGAGGGTGTCATTGATTTCACCTCGTATTTTAACAATTTTCTGCGTGAAAAAATCACAAAATGAGTTTGCCAGTGACATTGGGTCAGGAGATGATGGATATCGGGTAGGCGTATTTTTGTGCAGCAAATTACTTACGGTCTTAAAGAGAGTTCTTTGATCAGATGACCCATCCTTGATTAAGTCAGTATAGTAAGCCGATTTTGAGGAGTAAATCAGTTTATTCACAACATAACATTGTTGTTTATACAGATTCCTATCAGCATTCATCTTTGTTTTACGCCATTTTCTCTCAAGTTGTCTCCGTTTTCGTTTTTGAACATTGATTTCATCAGTATACCAAGGTGCCTTTGGGCGCAATGTAATTTCCCGGAATTTAGCCGGTGCATGTTTATTTAAGATAGTATGGAGACAGTTATCATATTCACGTACCAATGTTTCCAGATCCATAGTCATAAAATCTTTAAGGGAAGAATTTAGAACATCTGCTTTAAATTTACGCATATCAATCGTCCGCAGATTACGAGAAAGCAAACGTTTCTTCGCAAATTTTGGTTTCCTAAACAAGAGATGTAGATGCACAGCAAAATGATCAGAGATCGAAGGATCAACGATGTCACAATGGTTAACAATATTTTCTTCTGATCGCGTTATTACCAAATCCAGGGTATGACCACCAGAGTGCGTCGCTCCAGAAACGTGCTGCTTCAAGTCAAATGAAGCTAAAAGATCTAGAAACTGCTTAGCAAGAGGGTCATTTGAATTATCCAAATGAAAATTGAAATCTCCAACGATCGCGAAATATAACGAAATATAACGCAGCAAATATACACGTCAGACAATCAGAAATTGCAAAGTTCATTACGAGGTACGTCGCTGAATTTCTGAAACATTTCAGAGGGTCTTTAATAAAAGCAATAAGTAGTAGCATATTTGAAGCTGCTCCTAAAATAACCGCTACAAAAACAGGAATATTGTGGTATTCCAATTCAAAGACGACTGCAGATGTAGTTGAGCTGTTCTCTGCCATATTTTTGTCCGCAAAAAAATTCTGACCCACGCCGGACTATTTTTCGCGTCTTTAGCGTCCGCCGTGCAGACTGCAGATAAATCACAAATAATTAACAACCATGGCTAGATTTTATGGCTGAAATATTAAATGAAAGATCTAGACTATTCTTGTCATACCGCAAAGCCCTTTAGAGTTTTTTTCGGTAACGATAAAATGTAATTTGGTGCCGTCATTATTATTTTATTTTAAATAATTAATTTGCCCCATCGCTTTGAAATCTAAATATTTCATTTCGGTAGAGAAAGTTTTAATTTAAAATAGTGACACAATTTCAGGCACAAATTATTTAAACACAAACTATACATTAATATTGATGAAAAGAATACTTCTATAATCTAATACATGGCAGTAGTGTTACCTGTCCCTCGTTTGTAGAACATTATAACCTCGCCCCTTTTAGCTAGAGGTATTTCTAGGTATAGAATAAAGTAGTATGGGATGTAATGTTGACGAAGTTTTTTTGTTAAGTAGATTTCCGACAACAATGCACCTTCATGCATTAGTATCCCACGATCCAGATAATTATTTGTAACAAAATGTAACAATTTTCATAATCGTCTTGTCTTTACTATCCTCCAAAAAGCATTGTATAAAATAAAGTTTTATTTCAATTGTTTTAATAAGTCAAGATCGGCCTCTTTTGCAGAAAAGCAGGTAAAATGTTTTCCGATAGTTTGGAAAACGTACCAAATAAATCAATGGGTTAACAGCAAAGTTGATGTAAAAAAGTGCTATAGAAATTGGTTGTAGGATATCGTTGATTGATCCCACGGTAAAGGCATGATCATAAAGTTGGAAAATTAATGAGGATGGCACGGTGCAAACAAAGGCCAAGCACGCTATCAAACTAATTGTCTTTAAAAACCGCTTCTCTTTTATAACTCTTAGTTTCTGTGCACGCCTTTCAGTAGAATTGTGTAGAGCTATGTTTCTTGATATTCTCTTCAATTTGTAATACGTGAAAGCATACATAAAGGCGGGTAATGTAGCAACAATCATGATCATCAAAGTATGGACGATAGATTTATTTGTTCTTGTACGAATATAAAACACTTCTACAGCAACAGGGATTGTACTTACTAACCATATTGTTGCGAGCCATATTATGAGAGTTTTTCCCTTCATCAAAGTGCGATGTCTTGTCGGATAAGCGACAATTAAGAATCGATCAATCGAAATTGATGTTATCGAAGTAAATGAAGCCGTCCCGATCGAAAAGCAAAGAATTTCATAGATTGATTGCCAACCAGCCAAACGAATGATTCTTATTTTGTCAGCTCGATACAAGGGACCAAGTAGACACATTAGACAATCACAAACTTCAAGATTCATTACCAGATACGTCGCTGAATTTCTGAAGCATTTTAGAGGATCTTTGAGAAAAGCAACAAGAAGTAACGCATTTGAAATTACTCCAAAGATACAGAATACAGTAGCTGGTAAAAAATCATAACTAAATTTAGAATTCATTTCACCAGAGCAAAGAGTCTTCTCTCTAGTCTCTTTTAATAAAAAAATCACATGTAGAAATGGTCTTTCCTGAACTGCAGCTACCCTCAGTTTAGAAAGCTGTTTTTGCGATAGGGAGAAATTCGTTTTCTCGATGCAAACAGTTATGTTTTAATGTTTTTTGAGTAGCAAAGAGCGCGGCTTTGCAGTGTTTACATTAGAATCGATAACAAAACGTAAAATGTATTTTAGGTTTTTTGATAATTTTTATTAATTCAGTAAATTTTTCATAACATGACACGCTTTAGTTTTCTTATTAGACAACGTCTTTTGCGCACAAATTAAATTATTCATGAAAGTATAACCATATTCCATGATGTATCTCAAATGGTTTTAACTTTTAAATACAAAACTGACCAGCAAAGGCATAAGCAGTAAAGGCATTTTTATCAATCAACAGTTTGGGAAACGTACAACGTAATTGAATGGATTTACAGCAAAGTTGATGTAAAAATTCCATAAAAATTGGTGGTAAAATATCGTTGGTCGAGAGGAATCATTGAACAGAAAAATCAGTGCGCATGTATTCATTGCTGCTAGCGAGACGAAATAATGAGAGGGGAGCAGACTGGATTACGGATATGATATGAAGAGGAAATGTAATGAAAACAGGCAGACAGTCATACTAGGGAAAACACTCGAAAACTTACTCGTGGTTCAAAAAGCTAATCGTTTGAAAAATGCAGAAAAATGCAATTACATGCATGGTGCTTAAGTTTTTTTTTCAGTGTTCTTGGCACAATTGATTTCATAGCTTGTACAAAGATGAAGATGAGATATAGGGCATGCTGAATTACGACCACGTAATCATTATCTTAATATGTCGTATTCATCTGTCAATGATGATGCCTTTGTGTATATGTTTTCAAAACATTATACAGCAATGATAATATACTCTGGTTAGTTTTTGTATTGTGTTTATGTCCCTTCGTCTGTGCGGTTTTGTCATGTACTATCTTATACCTTCCTATCCGTCATTAATTTACATATGTAAATAGATTATATATATTCAAATCTCGTGTAATTTTATATCACTTGTCTGAAGATGTCTTAGGTTAAAGACGAAACGTTACAAATATATTTACTTTTAAACTTTAAATTGTTTTGATGGCTTTCTTAAATGTTATATGTTGGGCTCTCATATTTATAATAAGAATCCGTTTTCCGCCTGGCAAATCTCTAGCTACGATATTGAAAACTCTCGTTAACATTGAAGAATCCTTAAAAATCCATATCTTAAGTTCTTATTTTGCAAAATTAATGAGCAAAAGTTTTAATTCGCGTAGATACATTAATTAAAGTTTTTCTTTCGCCATATTTAATACTCTGACTTTTGCGACAGCCTTGCTGAACATTCTAAAACACCTGTAAAGATCATCTTTAGCCCAATTTAGTTATGATATGTATCACGTAATCTGATAGGTTTCTTAGGAGCAATCAAAATCTATGTCCTGTACGATTGGCTTGCATGTTAGGCGAGAACGACCAATCATAATCAATGTATGCCGTTTGCTATGTATTGAAGAATATATTGAAAAAATTTGCATTCAATATTTTGATTTCATATTTAAAAGCTTTAATGAACAAAAATTAATAAATTTCACATCACTGAAGAGAGTTAAAACGTTCGATCTCTATCACAAGACTGACAACATGTAATGTTATAAAAATATGAAAACATCTCAAAATATCAATTAATTAACATGCGATTCCTCAGAATCGATAGCAGTAGCCGATAAGTCTTAGCTGGCGATTTTATTGATTAAAGATGGCAAACAATATTAGTACAGTTGGAATAAACGTTCGAATAACCTACAGCAATTCACCGACTATTATAATCTGCATCCTTGGAGCAATTTCGAATGCGTTTCTTCTTGTAGCATTTCTTAAAGATCCTTTAAAATGCTTCAGAAACTCAGCAACGTATCTCGTAATGAATCTTTCAATTTGTGATTGTCTAATGTCTCTACTTGGTCCGTTGTATGCAGCCAGCTGTACAAAAACCGATCATTTGACTGGTTGGCGTTTGGTTTATAGTTTTCTTGTATATTGTGTTGGGGCAACCTCATTCGCTTCGATAACATCAATATCGATCGACCGATTTTTGATGATAGCTTATCCAATAAGGCATCGCACTTTGGTAAATGGAAAAAGCGTAATCATATGGCTAGCTACAATTTGGATGGCAACTTCAATCCTAATCGGTGTAGAAGTGTTTCGTTTTAATCGTTTACATGAAGAAAAACAGGGAACTATCAGCCATATTTTTACAATGATTGTTGCAACAATATCCGCACTCATGAACACTGCTACGTATTACAAGTTGAAGAAACAGTCGAAAAACATTGCTCTGCAAATTTCCGCAGAAAGTCGTGCACAAGAAATAAGATTAACGAAAGAGAAGAAATTTTTAAAAACAATTATTATTGTAGCTTGTATTGCCTTTATTTGTACAGTTCCATCTGTGATAGTTTTCCAGGTTGATACATCCTCTGCCAAGACGAACTATAAAATTCTGAAACCAATTTTCCTAGCAATGTTTTACATTAATTTTGCTGTGAATCCGTTGATTTATTTGATTCGTTTTCCAAACTATCGAAAAATATTTTATCTGCTTTATTGTAAAAGATGTTGAGGATCTTTGAAATGATTTGACGTGAAATTTCTCTGTAATATTTTCCGATGCCAATAGGTGGGTTTATCTCAAGATTAATACATAGCGAAACACTTGGTGGTCAACTTCACAAATATTGCCGAATTATGCCTTATGGAAGTGAGCAAATTTCGTTAAATTGCACATAACATCTACTCAACATTAGGTCAAAATCTACAATGAATATTTTATTTGATTTGATAAATATTTTCCATC